CCCTTCCACTTGTATGTGGATAAAAAGGCAGGGGTGGCCAAAGGAGTTTTGACTCAGACTCTGGGGCCTTGACAAAGACCAGTAGCCTATCTTAGCAAGAAACTAGATCCAGTAGAGGCTGGGTTCCCCCTTGCCTCCACATAACTGCTGCCATGGCCCTCCTGGTCAAGGATGCATGTAAATTGACTTTGGGTCAAAATCTCATCTTGACCACCACTTACGATCGAGGGCCTTCTCCAGACTCCACCAGACCGGTGGATGACAAATGCCCAAGTGACAGGGTATCAGACCCTCTTCCTCAACAAACCGAAAGTGACTTTCCGGCCCCTGGCGGTGCTAAATCCAGCCACGTTACTACCAGAGGAGCTGGCTGACCACCCACACAACTGCAGGGAGGTCCTAACCCAGGTCACAGGAATAAAGCCGGATCTCAGAGACACTCCCCTCCTGGATGCGGAGATGACTCTGTTCACAGATGGGAGTAGCTACATGGTCGATGGAAAGAGGTATGCGGGGGCTGTGGTGGTTTCTCCTGAGCAGGAACTCTGGACAGCGGCCCTGACACATGGAACCTCGGTGCAAAAATCGGAGCTGATTGCACTCATCAAGGCACTGCAGATGGCCAAGGTCACTGCAAGCATTACAGTCTGTCTTAAAAAGAGGCCACAAAGGGATCCAAACTGCCCACACTGAGACGGAGACGGAGGTGGAACCACATCCTTACCAACAGGGGGACTTGGTTTGGATATGCTGCCACCAAGTGGGAAACTTAGAGCCTCGCTGGAAGGGACCATTTACTGTCATCCTGACCACCCCCACGGCAATAAAAGTAGAAGTCATCAGGACCTGGATTCACGCGTGTCACATCAAACGAGACGAGGACGAGGACGTCCCCCAGAGATGGATGCTGCTGCCAATGGACCCCGCTGATCGTGGTCTAAAGCTAAGACTCAAAAAACAATGAGTTCATTGAGTTCTTTGTTGGTCCTATTGTTAAATGTTACTTTTTGGCCCCTGCATTTTTTTTTTAAGATTTTATTTATTTATTTGACAGAGAGAGATCACAAGTAGACAGAGAGGCAGGCAGAGAGAGAGAGTGGGGGGGAATCAGGCTCCCCACCAAGCAGAGAGCCCGATGCGGGACTCAATCCCAGGACCCTGAGATCATGACCTGAGCTGAAGGCAGATGCTTAATCCACTGAGCCACCCAGGCGCCCCTTGGCCCCTGCATTATAAGTGCCCTAATGTCATTTGTACAAAAGAGGACATAGAACTGGCTGAAAAGTCAAGGATTTGACTAATCTCCAAAGAAAAGGGGGGAATGTAGGGGCCTACTTAGCCAGAGCGACTCCATCTCGGTTAAATAGTGATTTTGTTGTTTATGCAGTAAAACTTAAACTGACCCTGCCCCCCCGCCCCCAGGGGAACTTACTTAAAGCCAAGCCTGGGAAACCAGTAAAATATGGTCACCAGTCCCTGATAACAGAGCCCAGAATGCAAGGACGTTGTCAGGCCAGATGGAGACATCCAATCAGTAAAGCACACATATTATCTCCCTAACCACCAAAGAATGTAAACTCCGCCTTTTGGGTGCCAAACTAGGGTGCCAATTCTGACCAGAGTGATAGATAGGCTAGTTCAAACAGCTACTATAGGGTAAATTGTAATTCCATTGGCCACCCATGTATGACCTAGCATGACTACGCAACTTTCTCTGTGTATTACAATCTCATTGGCCAGGCTCAACCACATGGCCTTTGCTCTATAAAAGCTAGTCTGTGAGGCTGGGGGTCGTTGCTCTCTCCGTAAGAGACGGCCCCGACCAGTAGGTTTGATTCTCGATACTGGCGTGAAATAAATCTTTGCTTGACCTTCGCTTTGTATCAGTCTTGCTCCTTTGATAACGGACCCCATCAGAACTTGTCAAATTTTAAACCTAGTTACCCGAACCCGAACCTGACCCTTGTACTTCTCTATAGAGCAAAACTGTTCAGAGGTTATTGATCTTTATTTAGTTGGCCATATTTAAGATGCCCCTATTAAAAATATGAATGATAGTTGGTTTACTGATGACAATAGTTTTCATAAAAGGAATAAGAAAAGATGGGAATGATGTAGTGCCCACTAGCACTTTGCAATTGCCAAAGCCTTAAAAACTAATATTAATACTGACTCCAAAGATGCTTTCCTAGTCCTACATATCCATGGAGCAATTTGGAAGAAAAGGGGTTTATTATCAAGCCATAACTCCACAGTTCAATACAGGCCTAAAATTATTAACTCTTCTTAAGGCTGTATACCTACCTAAGAAGACAGCTGTAATTCACTTCAAAGGACGTTCAAAGGATATGACCTTAGGAACCAATGAAAGTAATATAGGGTTTACATCAGGCCACTGATTTGGGCAAAAAAGCCATGGAGGTGAGAAAAACTTCGTGAAGGAAAATTGTCCCTAGGTTTGGACTCCCTTGGTCCCTACAAAGTAACGATGGACTGCCTTTTATTACACATTAAAAAGATGGCTCTCCAAAACTGAATAGCCCTTGATATCTTGACTGTAGTTACAGAAACCCAAAATTGGAGGACTTGTCTCCTAACGGAACCCAGTGGTTATATGGCCACTGTTCTCTGGGTTTTGCTTGGAATCACGGATGCATTATTAAAGCCACTACCAACCTGGCCAACCTTCCAGACTTAAAACAGTGGTGAACTTGTTCTGTCTCATTGATTTGACCAACTAACATCCACTTTTGTTGCCCCTTTGGAACTGGAGGATGTTTGGCACGTGGAAGCTCTTACAAAGTACATGGTCAGTCCTAAATGCCCCTCCAAGTAGCATTTCTCTATTAAAATGCTGTGGTGATACAGATGTGTAAAGCAGCTTTACAGAATAGAATGGTATTGAATGTTTTAACTGCTACACAAGGTAGAAGTTGTGCTATTGATAGGGTCTGTGATCAAAGGAGCGAGACTGATACAAAGCGAAGGTCAAGCAAAGCTTTATTTTGCGCCAGCACCGAGAATCAAACCAACTGGTCGGCGCCATCTCTTACAGAGAGATCGACGACCCCCAGCTTCACAGACTAGCTTTTGTAGAGCAAAGGCCATGTGGTTGAGCCTGGCCAATGAGATCATCTCCACTCGGCCTGACTCGTCCTTGCATTCTGGGCTCTGTTGTCTCCATCTGACCTGACCTGTCCTTGTATTTGGGCTGTTATCACCACCTGACCTGACCCATCCTTGTATTTGGGCTCTGTTATTAGGGGCTGGTCGACCATATTTTACTGGTTTCCCGGGCTTGCTTCTAAGTAAGTTCCTCGGGGGGGGGGGGGGGGGGGTCAGTTTAAGTTTTACTGCATAAACAACAAAATCATTGTTTAACCAAGATGGAATCGCTCTGGCTAAGTAGGCCCTTACATTATCACAAAAACAAAATACTATGGTTATGTTCCAGATTATCACAAAATATTTCTTCGGTTCTGACATACTCAAGTTAGCACTTAAACAGTCTCTCTCTCCTTTAATGACTGATTAAACTCCTGGACTGGAAAAGGGCTTTTTGTCAACTAGCAAAAAACTTAATTTGAGCTTCATTTTCTTTTTGCTACTTTAATCACGTTTTGCTGTTTCTCTCATGTCTCCTCACCTGGCATCGACTGCTTCACTGCCATAACTTCCACAGATGATCCTTTCCACTTGGGAAGATCACCTGAGCTGTCTCCCCTGGATTCAGCTGCCTCAGTCTTTCCTAACTCCCCTACACAGTCCCCAACTGACCAGTGTTGACCTGAGTAGGTAGGGACAACTCTACGCCCCTGTTCAGCAGGAAGATGTTACAGAAGCTAAGACCTTCCACCTTCAACCTTAAAGATTTAAGGGTCAAAATTGTTCAGGTGGGAATGATGAGAGAACAGAGGGCTGGCTGAAGACAAAGCAAAAGCTGACACCCAGCAACCTTCTCCCACCCCCACTCCTGGGTGGGACATACGTGACATTCTTTAGGAATTTCCCAACTATCTTAACTGTTTGCTAAAAAAAGGGCGGAACGACCTTGGCAACCGCTAGGCCTCTGGAATCTGGTATCTTGTAGATCCTCTTTAGCATATGAAAGTTCTATAGAAACCTCCCTTTTCTTTACTTCCCCCACCCCCATGGTACATAACCTGCAAACCCCTCACAACCCAGGGGCAGCAGCTCTTCTTTCCCATGGGTCCTGTACCCATGCCTTAATAAACCACCATTTTGCACCAAAGCTGTCTCAAGAATTCTTTCTTGGTCCTTGGCTCCAGACCTCACTCCACCAAACCTCAGGTATATTCTAGAACTTAATCACTCAAAACCCCAGGACGCTCTTTCTGCCCAGAGGTCCTGTCCCTTTGCTTTAACAAAACAAACTTTCCCAATTCCTACCAAGAATTCTTTCCTGGCCATAGTCTCCAAACCATGTCACCAGGGACTAACGGGAACTTTCTGACTCAAAAAGGCACAAACGTCAGCCAGTGTGGGCCGGGAGAAAGCGCAGGGCGACATGCCCAGCTCCTGTCCCTTTTCTGCTCTTGTTCCTCCTCCATTTGCCCCACCGGCGGATTGGCTCGACCGCCTCGCCCCTCTGGAACCTAGCCAGGACTCAGACCGGAGGGTTAGAGCCTTTTAATTAAAGTTACTGGGGTGCAAGCGGTAGTACTGGTGCTGGCGGTGGGTTCCTCGTACTCTCCTTGGGCGAGTTCCCTTCCCCTCCTTCAAAGCCCCCGCCCCTGAATGGAGGACTGAAGGGACCTAGGTGACCTCAGTTAGGGTCGGGGCGGCTAGCAGGGTGGTCGCCCACCTCCCCGGGCTTCGGAAAGGCTTGGGGAGCCTTGACTGGGAAACCGCAGCTGGGGATCAAATCGTCAAACGCAGTGAGCGGCCCGCCTTCCCCTTACTGGTGTCCTTCCGCTGTCGTGGGCCCCCTGGCCCTGGCTCCCGCGCCGCCTCGGCGCTCCCCGCGACAGCGCACTTACCTTGGTCGCGGCCGGTCAGGGCGCGCACTTGGATCTCCGGGTCCCCAGTAGCTCCATGGGAGGCGCAGCCACGGGTGCGAAGGGGTCTCCAGGGGCCTGGAAGGCGCAGGGCGCTGGTCAGGGCGCGCAGCATCTGGGCGCAGGCTGGGAAGGTGCCAAGAGCCCCTCCACTACTCCGTCCACGCCGGGGAGAGCTCGAAGCTGTGTCCCTGGTTTTCGCAACTGCTCCACCTAGGGGCGCACAGCCCAGAGCGGTTTTCCACGCCGCTTGCCCTTTGGAGACTTGAACCCGGGCTAGGCGAAGCCCACCCAGCTCCGCTGCATGATTTGGGGCAAGGATGCCAACCTCTTTAAGGGTCAGTGTTTTAATCCGTAAAGCGGGGATCATAATAATGACTACTGTCAAAGATACAGGGGGAGGCTAGTTAAAGTGAGAACAGGTTTTACTCACTAATAGATAATACACTACAGAAAAAGGGACTGTTCGGTGTGAACTGGACTTAAACTTCTGTTTGTACGGAGGTGACGGAGAGTTTTGAAGGGAGAAGGAAGGAATATGGAGGTGGGTGAACCGGGCCTGTATAATAGAGTCCGGAAAGTGAAAAATTACGAAATCATGGAAGGTGTTTGGCCACGTGAAACCTGTGAAACATTAGCTGTGTTAGCTAAGGGATGTTTATCCACCCTTAGGCTCCCACAGATTGGGGGTGTGGTGGGAGTGGGGGTTGTCTCCAGGTATTGGCTGGAGGAAGCAGTAAATTCTTTTGGCAGTGTTGACCTTAAAATAAGTTATTTGGGGGCTGCCTGGGTGGCTCACTGGGTTAAGCCTTTGCCTTTCGCTCAGGTCATGATCTCAGGGTCTTGGGATCGAGTCCCACATTGGGCTCCCTGCTAGGCAGGGAGCCTGCTTCTTCCTCCCTCTCTCTCTCTCCCTCTCTGCCTACTTGTGATCTCTCTCTACCAAATAAATAAAATCTTTAAAAAAAAATAAGTTATTTTACCAGCAAAAACAAGTTTATTTGGGAATAGCGGAGAATTGCAATTTCAGACAAACAAGCCACAGGAAACAATCATAGGCTACTCCAACAGAGAGAAAGGGAATTTTGTGGAGAAGTTGGGAGGGGTTGTTTTGAAACCAAAACTCATTGGAGTAAAGCAAGAGTTCTGGGTAATGAGGTTTTCTCATCCGCTGAGCTGCTGACCTACTGGATTTCTTGAAGGAGATTAAAATATACCACCTGGGGCGCCTGGGTGGCTCAGTGGGTTAAGCCTCTGCCTTCGGCTCAGGTCATGATCTCAGGGTCCTGGGATCCAGCCCCGCATGGGGAATCTCTACTTAGCGGGGAGTCTGCTTCCCCTCTCTTTCTCTGCCTGCCTCTCTGCCTACTTGTGATCTCTCTGTCAAATAAATAAAATCTTAAAAAAAAAAAAAAAAAAAAAAAAAAGAAAAGAAAAGAAAATTGGGGCACCTGGGTGGCTCAGTCATTAAGCACCTGCCTTCGGCTCAGGTCATGGGATGGAGCCCCACATCCAGCTCCCTGCTCAGCAGGAAGCCTGCTTCTCCCTCTTCCACTTTCCCTGCTGTATTCCTTCTCTGTCTCTGTCAAATAAACAAATAAAATCTTAAAACAAACAAACAACTAATGTCCTATATGTGGGCTAATTGAGCATAATAAAAATAAATAAAAATAAAAGGCTAAGAATTAAAAAAAAAAAAAAAGAAAATATAAGCCAGTTATAGAAATTAATAAAGAGAAACCTTACTAAAATGCAGTCAGGGGCGCCTAGGAGGCTCAGTCATTAAGTGTTGCCTTTGGCTCAGATCATGATCCCAAAGTCCTGGGATGGAGCTCTGGTTCAGGCTCCCTGCTCAGTGGGAGGCCTGCTTCTCCCTCTCCCACTCCCCCTGCTTGTATCCCTTTCTCACTGTCTCTTTCTCTGTGTCAAATAAATAAATAAAATCTTAAAATAAAATAAATAAAATAATAAAATGCAGTCAGGAGGTGAGAAGCGGGGGTTGGGGGGTGGGGGGGAGCTCTGGTGCCATACCACCGGAAATCAATTACAGAAAGAACTGTCAATTATAGACCCACCAAGAGAGGATATATATATATATATATATATATATATATAAAGATTTTATTTATTTATTTGACAGAGACAGAGAACACAAGGAGGAATGGCAGAGAGAGAGAGAAAGGGAGAAGCAGGCTCCCTGCTGAGCAGGGAGCCCTACGTGGGGCTCCATCCCAGGACCCAGCCGAAGGCAGATGCTTAACTGACTGAGCCACCCAGGTGCCACTGAAAACCATCTTAATATCCACCAACAGGTGGTTAAATAAAGTATGGTACATCCATAAACTGAACACTAGGTAACAAGCAACTTTTTATGCACTGATATAATCTAAAAAATCCATTGTTGTATGAAAAATTCAAGATGTGAAATAGCATGTAAAGAAAGCTAAAGTTTGTATTATACAGGGGGATAACATTACTCACGTGTGCATATATGTATTTGGTTGTAGTTACATAAAATATTTCTAGGATGGGGAGAGAAACTGGGAAACTGGGAATGGGGTAAGAGGGAGAATTTTGACAGTTTGACCTTTTATACTTTTGAATCTTAATTCATGTGTTGAGTATTATCTACCCCAAAAATAATTAAAATGAAAACAGAACACACTGACAAAAATAAAAGACATGATATAGCAAAAATAAAAATAAAAGTAATACACAGGGGCAGCTGGATGGCTCGGTGCATTGAGCATCTGTCTGTCTTTGGCTCAGGTCATGATCTCAGGGTCCTGGGCATCAAGCCCCATATCTGGCTCCTTGCTCAGTGGGGAGTCTGCTTCTCCCTCTGCCTCTCCCCCCATCTCATGCTCCCACTCACTCGCTCTCTCTCTCTCTCAAATAGTCTTAAAAAAGTAATACACAAAGTCAAAACATTTAAACAGTACAGATGAGTGTAAAATTAAAAGAAAAAACACCCCTCCTCCGTACTGTATGCATTTAAAAGAATGTTTATTGCATTTTATCCAGCATTTCTGGGTGTTTCTTGGCAGGAAAAGCTTTTCTAAAAGATTTATTTGAGAGAGAGAGTGTGCGTGAGCAGGGTGCTGGGGGCAAGAGGGAGATGGAGAGAGAATCCTCAAGCAGACTCCTCACTGAGCATGGAACCCAACATGGTACACAATTCCAGGACCCTGGGATCATGACACAAGCCAAAACCAAGAGCCAGCAGCTCAATCAACTCCCAGGTGCCTTGGCAGAATTTTTCGATTATTTAGTCCTCCACACTGAAAATGGAAATGTTCTTTCCCAATCTTTTCAGCATTAACAGCAACTTTTATTATCTTATTAGTCCCTCTCTACTTCCATGGACATCTATTTTTTGTTTTTGTTTTTTCTTATGAAATAGTAAAAATTAATTTTATTCTATTTCATCTCATGAGTACATATATTTTTAATATTCTGTGTGACAAAATGGGAAGTACACATCAAGCACTTCTGCTATAAGCCAAAGTATAATAGTTGATCCCAGAAAACACCTGTGTGCCTATTTGAGTTACCAGCTGAGCTAGTCACATAGGTTATAGAATGCCATTTACACTTGAATGAACAGCTAACAAACTACAGTTATTCAGACTTGGGTGTTTCACAGACATTTTCTCAAATATGTAAAAAAAAAAAAAAAAAAAGGTGAGTCTGTCCCTTCAACAAAACAACAGCAGCAACAAAAAAAAGGCGAGTCTTTCCCTTCAACAAAACAACTGACAGTACTTTTTGGCCAAATGAAAACTTGTTTCTACTACCTTGAGTTTAGTAGCTTAACCTTTTTTTCTAAAAAATGAGATAGGTGATGTTATTAACAAATGTGATTTTCTTGATATTGTACAATGACATTCTACTTGATATTACATTATGAAATTTGAAATGTCAACATTTGGAAGATTTGCTTAACCCAGTGAGCCAACATTTTCTAAATGACCAATGCCTAATGTAATAAAATTATACATGGGTAAAATATCAGAACAAAGGGCAAGATAAACCAATGGATTTTAATGTAACAGTACAAAAGTTCGCCAATATGGTTTCAGAAGTCACACTGTACATACCTTTCAAGAAACTACGACTCACTGAGTTTTAGGTATAGTATCAAAAAAGAATGTCCACAGTTATTTGAAAAGGCAATTAAAATCTGTGTTAGACATATACACAAAAGACACAACAGTTTGGTTGCTGAAGCAGAAATGAGAGTCTGGCTATTTTCTATGAAGCCAGATATTGAACAGATTTGAGACAATGTAAAATAATGCTACTCTTCCTACTAACTTTTTGGGAGAAAGGCCTAGCTATTTTTCATTAAAATATATATATTTTAAGATTTTATTTATTCATTTGACAGGCAGAGATTACAAGTAGGCAGAGGGAGAGAGGAGGAAACAGGCTCCCCGCTGAGCAGTGAGCCTGAGGCGGGGCTCGATCCCAGGACCCTGAGATCACGACCTGAGCCGAAGGCTGAGGTTTAACCCACTGAGCCACCCAGGTGCCACTAAAATATTATTTATATTCAGAAGTAACAGGTTACTTTTTTAAAAGATTTATTTTATTTAGAGAGAGAGAGCAAGTACACAAGTGTGAGGAAGGGCAGAAGGAGAGAATCTTTTTTTTTTTAATTAATTTATTTATTTGACAGACAGAGATCACAAGTAGGCAGAGAGGCAGGCAGAGAGGGGGAGGAAGAGAGCCTGATGTGGGGCTCGATCCCAGGACCCTGGGACCATGACCTGAGCCAAAAGCAGAGGCTTTAACCCACTGAGCCACCCAGGGGCCCTAAGAAGGAAAGAATCTTAAGCAGACTCCCTGCTGAGCATGGAGCCCAACATGGGGCTGGATCTCAAAACCCATGAGATCATGACCAAGAACTGGATGCTTAACTAACTGAGCCACCCAGGCCCCCCAAGTTTACTTTTATTCTTAAATAACTGGTAAGTGAATGTTTTAAGATTTTCTCAGCTTTGGGGCACCTGGGTGGCTCAGAGGGTTAAAGCCTCTGCCTTCGGCTGGAGTCTCGGTCCCAGGGCCCTGGATCAGGGCTCTCTGCTCAGCAGTGAGCCCGCTTCCCTTTCTCTCTCTCTGCCTGCCTCTCTGCCTACTTGTGATCTCTGCCTGTCAAATAAATAAATAAAATTTTTATAAAAGAAAAAAATATTTTCTCACCTTTAATTTCTGATATGGTAAATATCATAGATATAATATACACAAAACTCTTTTGAGGTAAAAGCATACAGGTGTCCTGAGGCACCTGGGTAACTCTGTTGGTTATGTGACTGCCTTCAGCTCAGGTCATGATCCCCCG